CCCCCCCCCCCCCCCCCCCCCCTCCACACAGTCACATTTACACAGAGTGCATCTCTGGATCATGTCAAGCATGCTCACTGGGACACCCATTGCTCCACAAATGCTAAATGTATTTAGAAACAGATCCACGTGGCTATAAAATATTAAAATGAATTTCAGGCAAAGGGAAAAAAAACGAGGAGCTTCTTAGAAAATAGAAAATGATCATAGCTCAAGCCTCAGCGATGCCAGACACACTGCCTGTCCTGCGTCTACCCCGGCCAGGCCTGCAGACGATGCTGCGACTCACTCCACGTCCTGCGGCAAAGAACGTCACGCTGTTTTCATGTGCACGTGATGCAAAACTGCATTCCAAGTCATGCATATAATCATATCTCCACCTCTGCTTGCATTCTACACGTCTTCCTGCAGCATTCACTTTTAAGCACCTTCATGTTCATTTCCACGCTGATTGCAGACGTGGGAGACGGTAAACAAAATTGAGACCAATACCGTATTTTCTGGTGTACACGTCGCATCAGTCCAAAAAGCATCCCGAAGAGGAAAAAAACGTATATAAGTCGCTTCGGCATATAAGTTGCATTTATTATACCTTTTTTATTTAATGGTCAAAACAGCTTCATTTCACCTGGGCGGCACCATCCATCCATCATGGCCACAGCGTTCCTCCGCCTGCAGCAGCTGAGAGAAGCGAGCGTGCATGGGAGGACTCGCTGTGGCAGTTCTTTGAAATTTAAAGCATCAGTCAAAAACTGTTATTATGGGGGCAGGGATTGTATATAAATTGCTTTGGTGCAGAAGTTGCAGGACTGACAAATCTATGCAAAAAAACCTGTGACTTATACGCCGGAGAATATGGTAATTAGTTTGGTCTGGGTGCGCCCTGGACGGCTAAGAGCATCACATCCTTGTTGCGTAATGGACTGTGGTAAACTTTTACGTTTGTCTTTTCTAACGTGCTCAATCTGTGCGACACAGATGTGGCTTCATCACAAGGAGATTGAGAACACCCGAAACGATTCCAGATATTTTGGAAAGTGTTGCGACTTCCATTAGAAATCTGATGCAGCGCAGTGAGATACTGACTTTAGGGTCTTTCTAACGAGCTTTACTGCAGATGGGTAAACGTTCCCTGCTGACGGTCAAAGATAATATTAGCTGATTGACTCACCCCAGCACTGTGAGTGGGGGCAAAGTTGAGCTGAGGGCAGCGTAGCGTTCATAATCTTCTGGCAGCAGGATCTGTAAACCGTCACTCTGTCTTCCAGAATCTTCTCCTTCCTGGATGTGGTGACACTCTGTCGCTGTGCCCAGGTCTCACGGGTGAGTCTGATCACCGTCGGCATGCCCTCGTGTGCACACAATTGCTATATTTGAAAATAAACTTGATTGATGCTTGTTTCTTCTTCGCTGCTCCAGTCCTGGAACGTCCTAGCCTTGGATGGCAGCAACTGGCAGCGAATCGACCTCTTCGATTTTCAGAGAGACATCGAGGTGAGCGAACCCTGAGCTCGTTTATTTGTCCTGTCACGCCCCGAGCGACCGCAGCAGGACCAGCTGACTGTTTTTGTTGCAGGGCCGAGTGGTGGAGAACATTTCGAAGCGATGTGGAGGGTTCCTTAGGAAGCTGAGCTTGAGAGGTTGTCTAGGTGTCGGTGACAGCGCCTTAAGGTGAGTTTGACGAGAATTACATTTATTTAAGCTTGTACTGTATTTTCCGCCGTATACGTCTCATCTGTGATGCGTCACCGCTGACAACCCGGAAATGTGGGCCGGTGTTGTGCCAAAAATCGATTGGCTGCCAAATGGCAGCCGCAGGAGCGTGCACGGGAGGACTTTAACAAGAATTTACCAAGCTTAACACTTAAAAACAATTGTGTGCTTGAAATTATAGCAAAGGTGTGTCTCAGTCTAACGTTTTCTTAATAAATGCACTTTGACGGTCAGATCAGCTGCATTTCAAAAGCCGATTCGCGGCCGCAAGAGCGTGCAGACGGACCGGTCGCTGTGCATTTCTTCGAAATTTAACAAGATATCCACCTAAAAACAATTATTTGTTTGCTCGACTTTATAACAAAGGTGTGTCTCAGTTGAACTTTTATTTAATAAATGCACTTTAATGGTCAAATCAGCTGCATTTCGCCGGGGCGGTGCGGAGAAATGAAGCTGATTTGACGGTTGCTCCAGGCGAGCTGGATGAAGGTGGCAGCTATGGCAAGCCGATTGTGTCATTAATAGCCACTTTTACCTATTACGTGACACAGCATGTTATACTACTCGAGTGCCATCTAGTGGCTGAAAATGGTAGTGTTGAATATTTTCAGTCAGAATGAATGAAAGCGGTCATATCTCAGCCAAACATTATTTTTATAAATACGGGAAAAAAATCCATAAATAAGTCACTTGAGTGTATAAGTCACAGGGCATGTAAATTATGCAAATAACTGTGACTTATAGGGCAAAAAAATCTGTGGCTTTAGTTCAGACATGTTTTACTAGACTGCGCTAAAGTTGCATAATATATATATTTTTGTCTTTTGCTTCAGGACGTTTTCACAGAACTGCAGGAATATTGAGCTGCTTAGTCTGAACGGCTGCACCAAGATCTCTGACAGGTGCGTTTGGTTCATGTGGCAGTGCTGACCACCAACTGCAGCAGTGTTTGTCTTCATAAAAGCTTTCATCGTCCTCCTCCTTTTGCAGCACATGTAATAGTCTCAGCAAGTTCTGTCCGAAGCTGAAGCACCTGGACCTCGCCTCTTGTACCTCCATCACGAACCTGTCACTTAAAGCTCTCAGGTGTGTTGCATCTTCATCACGACTTGTCCTTTCGCTGACCTTTGGCCTTTATCGACACAAACTGACATTTGTCTGTTACGATTCCTAAAATCTCGTCTTTTTTTTTAGTTGTAGTTGTAGTTTTCCCTCTTTTGTTCGAATTGTGACGTTGTTATTTGCGGTCATTTGCTTCTCAACCTTCTCTTTGTGCCTCCACTCAGTGAGGGTTGTCCCCTGTTGGAGCAGCTGAACATCTCCTGGTGTGATCAGGTCACGAAGGATGGAGTCCAGGCCCTGGTGCGCTCCTGCCCTGGACTCAAATGTCTTTTCCTCAAAGGCTGCACACAGGTACGATCCAAGTTATTCAAACGAGCTGCGTTTTGCTTCAGTCAAACTTTTTTCACCCTGGAAATCAGAAGTGCTACAGCTCTCTCAGAATGAAACTAGTTCCTTATATTTTGATTCTAAATAGAAAGCAGGAACTGTATACTTGGCGTGACAGATTTCCTGCTCAGCAGAGGATGTTTTGGGCTAAATTATATGCCAGTTACTGTTTACAGCAAATGTAATGCCTTTATTATTCGCCATCTTATTATATTAACAGTCAACAATGCTGCGTTTAAAGACAATTCAAGGTCCCTCACATCGTTGATTCGAATGTAAAGTGACACCAAACGTGTCAAAGGTTTACATTTTGCTGTTAATCTACACTGAGAATGATTCTGAAGAGATTATGATGACGGATTAGTTTAATTTGAGCTCGCTGACGATCTCTCCCACAGCTCGAAGACGAGGCGCTGAAGCACATCGGAGCTCACTGTCCGGAGCTGGTCACCCTCAACCTGCAGACGTGCTCCGTAAGTTCTCTGATCAAGCTTTTAAGGAACCAGGATTAAAGTTTAAAGCCTGCAAAGCTGAAATGGTTTCTACAAGATCCCTCTGACGCCATCTGCATGTTGCTCGACTCTAACCCGAGTCATTTCCCCAGAGATGTTTCTTTCTAATATAAGCAGGTTTTTGTTTGTTGGGAAGCAACAACCGAGCGCTTTGGCCGCTAAATTTTCCTCCTTTATGGCGACAAATTAACTGTCACACTTAGTGCTTCAAGGAAATGATCCGCTTATTATCTCGAGGTGTTTAAATGTTGATCGTGTGAATGTTTATGACGCATTCACACTATTGTGATCCATTTTTCTTCTGTACGTTCTTTGGCATCGTTCTTGTTCCACAGTTTTTGTGTTATTTTAACAAATCATATCAAAATGTTCAGCTCTTTCAGGACAATCCTGCTACATTGGTACAACTTTAGCTTTTTGAAATATTTAGCCTTTTCTGACACTTTTTTTTCCTCGTGTATATAAAATGAACGGAGCTCGTTTTACCTCCTTCAGATCTTTAGATGTGTTTACAACATTTTACTGCTCCGTTCACATTTTGTTCTGCTTCAGCTTCTTTCAGCTTCCTTGTGCACGTTAAAACTTTTTTCCAGCAGATTTCAGTTGTTTTCTGCTCCTTTCAGATTATTTCTGCTAACTACAACATTATTGTGCTTCTTCTAACTTATTTCTGCTAATTTCAGCTTAAGCTGCTTTCAGCCTATTTCTGCAAGTTCAAGCTTTTTCTGCTATCTCAGCTACTATTTAGCAGTTTTTATGCTAATTTGCATTTTTTTTTTTTTCAGCTGATTTCACATTTTTTTGCACTCCATTTAAACTTTTTTCAGCCTAGTTCAGCAAAAATGTACTCTCCATTTCCTTCTGGTAATTGAAGCTTCTTTCTGCTTCTTTAGCAACTATTCAGCTGTTTTTGGCAAATTTCAGCTTCTTTCAGATAAGTTCCACTATTGTGCTCATTTTAGCTTCTTTCAGCATAATTGGGAAATCTGTGGTTCTTTCTGATTTCTTCTGCTTGTTCTACCTTTTCAGCTACCTCTAGCCTTTTTTAAGCTAATTTCAGCCGTTTTCAGATAAATTTTAGTTTTTTGTGATCATTTCTGTTACTTTCAACCTAATTAACTTCTTTCGATTAATCTCATCTTGTTATGCTCTTTTCAGCTTTATTCTTCTGGTTTCAGCTTTTTCTGCACTTTCAGCTACTATTTAGCTGTTTTATGCTAATTTTAGTTTTTTCAGCTAATTCCACATTTTTTAACACATTTCAGCTCTTTCTACTTCCTTCTGGTAATTTAAGCTGCTTTCTGCATTTTCAGCCACTTTTGGGCAATGTCTTGCTAATTTAAACTTTTTAGCTAATGTACTATTTTTTGTGCTAATTTCTGCTTATTTAAACCTAATTCAGCAAATGTGTTCTGCTAATTTAGCCTTGTTCTTCCATTTCAGCTACATTTCAGTATGATTTTTTTAGCTAATTTCAGCAGTTTTTCAGCAAGTTCTTCTGCAATAAGCTTCACGCTGCATTTTCGCAGGAAATGCAATTTTTCTCATTTTCTTTGTCAAACCACTCGTAGCGCTGGGCTTTGGGTGAACCTGTCTGTTGTTGTCGTCACTCTGTTAAAACAGGTCTCTCTTGTAAATGAGTCCCCGAGGCTCAGTGAGATTAACCTGTAGAAATAAAGGTTGAAAGAATCCGTCAGGAAAAAATGCTCAAACTCGTGAATCTCCTTCAGGAGCAAAACTCAACATTTTCTGTAGCTGCTCCAAGACTTTGGACCTTTGTTTATCTCCTAACTTCTTATGAGATTATGCAACATCTCTTGTCAGGTAAAGAATATTCTGTGCCACACACTGTTGGTGTTGTTTGTTTACGCATGTTTTAATCCATAATGAGGACTCAGATTAGGTCAAACTACTTTTATCTTTCCCCTTTAAGACGTCAGTGCAGAGATTAATAGATTAAACATTACCTATTAAATCCATATTTGTGTCCACATACCATCTTCAGGATTAGTGTTTCTCAAAACACACGAGTTGCATCATACCTTTTGCTTTTCCATCCACTTTTTAATTTTTATGAATACTTTTTTTTTTCTGAATTTTCGTTTCTGTGTGAGAACTTGAGTGCTTTTCATTCGTTTAGCTCAAATGTTCATTTATTTAGCAATGCTGCATTTCACTCTCGTGCAGTTTTTTCTTCTACAGCTGGTCATCTTTATATATTTATACAATTAATTCACAGAACACATTCAAACGCCAAGAAACAAGGAGTGGTCAGGAGCTCCAGCTGCTCTGCAGCCGCGCATGAAGCATCTGTAAAAGCCTTCGTCCTCTCATGTTCTCGGTGGGAGGTGTGTGCAGGAGGAGTGGTGCACGTGGTGTTTCTCACTGTGTTGGTAAAGGAAACGCTGGTTGCCACATTTTGATAAAGGTGGATCTCTGTAGCCCGAGTATGATTTGTATTTGTATATGCGGGCGTGTCCGTGGTTTAAAATGTATTTAACGGCTCTGCGTTTTGTTGCTGCGGTGAGTAATATGTTCTGAAAGTATCGTTTGGCCTTGTTGTCAGTACAGTTAGTTTGTCCTGGTAATACTGTAGGACTTGGTGGCATACTCGCTTTGAAAACTTCCTTCGGGGCATCAAATATCTCCCTCCTGGATGGGTGAAGCTTAGGATGGAGCCAAAATCTGTGGGTGTGGTTGATGGTGCGTGTTCTGCAGTTCCTCCAGCGTGAGTGCAAATGTGTTGGACCCGTCTTAGATGTTCTGCTGATTTTATTTTTTCACTTGAATTCCCAGCATGTGTGCCTTAGTGCTTTTCTCCTTCCAGGTTTTGGCTCTCTCATTGGGTCTCCCACCCGTCCTCCATTTTTTAGAAAATTATGCCAAATTATTGACAGAATTATTATTGTTGCGTCATAAAATTTGCTATTGACTTTATCTTTACTCCGTGGTGAAGGCTGCACAGAAGATGTTGGAGTCAGTCTCCACACCATCACAGACATCTACACCTCCAGATGCAGGAAGAGGGCCACCTGCATCATGAAGGACCACACTCACCCAGCACACACACTTTTTGCCCCGCTCCCCTCAGGAAGGAGTTTGAGGAGCATTAAGTGTAGAACCACTAGACTGAGGAACAGCTTCTACCCTGACGCTGTTAGACTTATGAACCAGGAGAATCACTGTGGACAAAAAAAATCACTGTGGTATTGACGTGTGCTGCTGATTTATTTCATGCTGCTGATTTATTTCATGCTGCTGTGTTCATTCGTGCTCACCTGCTCACACAGACTCGTGTTCGGCGTATTGTTTTTGTACCACTAGTGCTTGGCGTATTATTAAACGCTTTTCTTAGTTCATATCTTGGATCTTATCCTGTTTTTCTTTTACATTTTCTTCTTGGATGTAACTGGGACCCTGTGCACACGCTTGAGTTCCACCGCATGTACCACATGTGGTGTGTTTGACAAATGAAGAACCTTTGACTTGAGTTGTGTTTCTAGTAGGGACCCTTCGTTTGGTGCAGGGTTTATGAGTTTACCCATGACGCATGTTAAAATGTCTTGAAGTTTCTCAGCTTTAATAATGTGGGTAGTATATAATTTTTAATGTATTTTTTAACCATTTTTTGGGAGGTTTAGTCTTCAAAAGCTCGATGCTTGATAGTGATGAGATTTACTGCAGTGGCCGACAGAACCGTGTTTCTCATGTTTAATGCATTTTTTGTCCAGACTTGCGTTTCTTTTACGGGGGGTATCTAAGAAAGTTTCATGTTTGCAGAGTTTCGGGACACTTGCTTTTCTCTATATTTAACCAAATGTACCATTTTTGGCTCCAAACTACAAAGGTTTAATGCATGCATGCATGAATGTTAGACTTTTAATAGATGAGTTTTTGATTTGTACGGTGGCTCTAGATTTGTTTGTTTGTCTTTGTCCGAGCAGCAGATCACAGACGAAGGCCTCATCACAATTTGTCGAGGTTGTCACCGCCTGCAGTCGCTGTGCGTGTCGGGCTGCGCCAACATTACAGACGCCATTTTGCACGCCCTAGGACAGAACTGCCCCCGCCTCAGGTACAAACCCAACTCCCCCGTGAGCCTAGAATCCTGCAGGACGAGCACTTTGGGTTCTTATTCTTTGGCCGTTTTAAGGGCCCTGCATGTCCATGCACGGTCACGTGGTTATGGGACGTTCATTTCTGCACACACCTTTCGTAGTCCATGAGCCACATGGCGCAGAGCTTCACTGCAGAATACGTCGGCGCACGGGTTTCTTCCAGCCAGAGTCTCCACTCGCCCCTGCAGCCGCCGTTTGGCCACAAATCCATCATGAAGAGAGCGCCACACTTTTTTCTGCAGACGGGCTCGATGTCTGCACCATCTCCATCCAGGAGTTTCAGGCCATTCGACTAATTTAGTGCGTTTGAAGAGTCGTACATGCGTCCAAGCACATTTCAGCATTGACGAGCACGCGATACTTGGCACATACGGCCGTGAAAAAAGTTTGTCCCGGGCCGTGTGTCGAAGCTCCGAGGACAAAATGACAGGATTTTTATCACGCAGCCACGTCGATGAAAGCCGATTTCACTGCTTCCGATGGAGTATGCAGGGCCCTTACATACTTGCAGACCGATTTTTTTTCTTTTAATTTAGGAGAATGGTTTTGTCTAAAAATATAAACTGTTAGAAAAGGCACTTGTATAACTCGTGTTTCTGTTTTCAGAATATTAGAAGTGGCTCGCTGCTCTCAGCTTACAGACGTGGGCTTCACTACATTAGCAAGGGTGAGTGTATCTACTGTTTCCAGCGCAACTTAACGTTTTGGATCTTGGGTTTAAATATTAGGACCTAATGCATTTTCCTTTTTTGTCCTACAATAAATTTCTATATGTGTAAACACAATCAGTGCTTCATAAAAACTACTTTCGTGCAACTTTTGCAGAATTGCCACGAGCTTGAGAAGATGGATTTAGAAGAATGTGTACAGGTATACAAAAGTATCTTAACTTTGATGTACATGACATATACATATGCCGTATTTTCCACCGTACAAGTTGCATCAGTCCAAATATGTCTAATAAAGTGGAAAAATCCATAAATACGTCGCATCTATTATGTGTCACCGCTGACCACACAAAAATGTGGCTGAACCTGGAAATGTGGGCCGGTGTTGTGCCAAAAATCGATTGGCTGCCAAATGGCGGCCGCGGGAGCGTGCACGGGAAGACTTTAACAAGAATTTAACCAGATTAACACCTAAAAACAATTATTTGTTTGCTCCAAATTATAGTAAATGTGTGTCTCAGTCTAACGTTTGCTTAAAAAATGCACTTCAATGGTCAAATCAGCTGCATTTCATGGGGGCGGTGCAGCAAAATGAAGCTGATTTGACGGTTGCTCCAGGCAGCTGATGGTGTACGCTGTGGCAAGCCGATTCTGTCATTAAGAGCCACGTTTACCTATTAAATGACACAAAGGCATGCCGTATACTCGAGTGACATCTAGCAGCTGAAAATGGTAGTGTTCAATATTTTCTGTCAGAATGAATGAAAACTGTCATATCTCAGCCAAAAATTGGTTTATAAATATGGGGGAAATCCATAAATACATTGCTTCGGTATAAGTCGCAGGGCATGCAAATTATAAAAAAAGTGAACTATGGGGCAAAAAATATGGTATATAATATTTATATTTTTTGCATCAGATCACAGATGGAACTCTCATCCAGCTGTCCATCCACTGCCCTCGTCTTCAAGTCCTGGTGAGTTTTGTTTTTTCTTGAACATTTCTGCTCCTGCAGCGTTGGCGCGCACCAAGTCTTGGCTTGCTTGAGCAAACATTTGAGTAACGGCGCTCCTGCGTGGGTGCCACCGTGTCCCTGCAGAGTCTGTCTCACTGCGAGTTGATCACCGACGACGGCATTAGGCACCTCGGCAGCGGGCCCTGCGCTCACGACCGTCTGGAGGTCATCGAGCTGGACAACTGCCCCCTCATCACAGACGCCTCGCTGGAACACCTAAAAAGCTGCCACAGTCTGGATCGCATCGAGCTCTACGACTGCCAGCAGATCACCCGCGCAGGCATCAAGAGACTAAGGGTAGGTGGTGAGCAGAACGGTTGTAAGTCTTTATTTTTAGGCAGAATATTCTGTAAACATTACGTCGTGGTGTGAAATTTGTTGCAAACATTTACCTTGCCAACGTGCTTCGTGACTCTCCGAGTCATTTTACAAAACGTATTTCAAACGTTTCACATTCACGTAGAGAAGAAACACATTTGCATTTATTTTAAAGCTCTTCCCGCGCTTTCAGTGTGGCAGCTGCACATTAAAGCTCTAAAACCCGGAATATTTTAAAGACGCCACTGAAAAGCGCACTCGGGGCTGACGCGTGCTCTTATTTCTATGTGAGAAACTAATTTAACTTTTATAAAGATTAAATTAAACTCCTAGACTTCTTTGCAGAAATCCAAATCGCCTCATGCCAGAGTTTTAAACTGAAGTCGCTTTCAGCTCAGGATATTTTCAGAACCTCGCATAAACTGTTGCGTGCGTGTTCTGAATCACCATCAGCTACTACCACATGGTGGCCATCTTAAATTAATTAATTGAATTTGGTTGACACCATCTGCTCAAGTTTTAGCATTTTTTTGCACCTTGCACAGTTTGTACCATATTTTCCAGCGTATGAGTCGCTTCGGAGTTAAAGTCGCTTTTATTATGCGTCAACACCGACCCCCGGGGAAACGTGGGCTGGTGTTGCGCCAACAATCGATAGGTTCTTTGAGATTTAACAAGCTTAACACTTAAAAACTATTTGTTTGCTCGACATTATAGCAAAGGTGGACTTAGTTTAACTTTTTCCTTATTAAATGCGCTTTAACGGTCGATGTTTGGCGGGGGAGGGGGGTAGCGGTACATGATCAACATATGCTCCTACTGGTAGTTGACAAAAGCCTAGAGGGCCCTCTTGCGCCTCTAGCGGCTGCAAATGTTAATGTTTAATCTGGTTCATGTCAGTATGAACGAACATTTAAAGCGTCGGTCTAAAATTGCGTTATGAATATGGGAGAAAAAAATTGTATAAGTTGCAGGATTAACAAATCTATCCAAAGATTTGCGACTTATACGTTGGAAAATACGGTTTCTGTTTCTACCTCCTGAACCACCTACACATGTACTAATCAACACGTGTCCTGTATGGCAAGCCAATTGTGTCATTAAAAGCCACGTCTGCCCATTACATGACACAGCAGCATGCCATACGACTCGACTGCCATCTAGCAGCTGAAAATGGTAGTGTTCAATATTTTTAGTCGGACTGAATGAAAACAGTCATATCTCAGCCAAAAATTGGTTTATAAATATGAGATCCATAAATAAGTCGCAAGGCATGCACATTACGCAAAAAACCACGACTTATAGGCTGAAAAATACGGTGCATGCAGCACTCCAGGAAAGACGACACATTTTGCACCTGATTGAGACTAAACCAGCAAGCGAGCATATTTATGCAGACGAGGCTGAAGGAGTCGGCGTGTTTTTAAGCTTTCGGTTCACATACCTTTTTCTTTTAACGTTTTGAAAAAACAAAAACCCTGTGATAAATTGATGATTTTTAATTAGAAGTGATTTATGATCAAAAAGAGCACCTTTGAGGCTTTAAGTGTGTTTTAGCTTCGTTTTTACCGTCAACTTATTTGCATTTTTCCTGAGCTGGGCTTGTTTCCAGTCTTAAATTGTATTTCTGCCGTTACTGAGAGACTGAGCGCTGAGCTTGACGCGTACGCTCTTATTGGACACGGATTCCTACAGTTTTATTTTCCAAATTGAATTTTTGTTTGAGTCACTGAGCGGTGAGTAAAACGCTCCATCCAGATCAGGCAGGATTTGTCATCGTTTGATCTCGCGCCTTTATTTTGATAAAACGTCCGCAGCATCGCTCGGTGGGTGAGGAGGCGAAGAGCGGTTTGTTGTGTTCACTGACCCTCGGGATTCTAGCAGCTTTGAAGGTGATGTTGGAGTTGACGAAACATTTTTCTCTTTTGTTTCTCTCCTCAGACTCATCTGCCGAACATCAAAGTGCACGCGTACTTCGCTCCTGTCACTCCGCCCCCCTCCGTTGGGGGCAGCCGCCAGAGGTTTTGCCGCTGCTGTGTACTGCTATGATGTAAAGACACCCCCCCACCCCCACTTGATTCTTGGATCCTGCAGGTCCTGGGCCTCAAAAACCTCCTGTCTAGAAACTTCATGCTGGTCTGTTTTTTTTTGTTTTGTTTAGTTTTTTTTTGGAGTTGCAGAGTGGAAGAGAACCAAACAGTCCGACAGGAACTTTGGCAACTTTTCCTAACAAGTGGAAATGCAGACACACGAATGTCAACACATTCCTGGTTTGTCTCCAGTGGGACTCATCAGTATTACGACGAGGGTTCTGCAAAAAAAAAAAAAAAACTGTGGCGTCCATCACTGTTAAGGGATTTTGCCGTCCCTCAAATGAAGTTTTGAAGAGTTGCTCAAGTGAAACTCTTCAAAACTTTTTTTTAAACAAAGCTCTCATTTAACCTCGCAGTTCTCTTGGTGTTAAGTCTCTTCAGAGCTACCTCTAGACAGGAACTACACCTGAGTAAGACCAGTGTTTTGCAAACTCTTCAGTTTAAAAAAGGGGGGGGGGGGGGCAGCCATTTAACTGCCAACACCCCCAAGCAAATAAAAACAGAGCAGCAGAAAGCCTTTATTCTAAAAAAAAAAAAAAAAAACCTTGCAGCTATTTGCACTTACAGTAAAACAACGAGACACTTTACAAAGACATCTCGTAATTGACGACTAACAGCACGCCGGGGCTCGCAGCCGTTGAGTTCTCTCTGTTACAATCAGCAGCGTCAAGATACTGAAGAGAGTGACGTAAAAAAAAATATTTTTCTAAAAGACACCGCTTCAGACTCACATGTAGGGACTCGAGAAGATGCCAAATGTTGCATGTCTAGTTTTTTAAAGAATCCGTTGTAAATACGTGAGAACCTGCGGACGAGTTGAAGCCAGCTGAACACCACGACGCGAGGCGGAGCAGAAACCGCCCGCCACGCTCCAGCACGCTCGTTTACGTACAGATTTGCTGGAGCGTTCCGAGAGCTGCAATGAGCCGGCCGAAGATGAACCCGCTGGCCTTTTTGTGTCGGCTCATGTACACAAGAAACTTTTTTTTTTTTTCCCAACTAGCAGAATAAAAACTAAACGTCTGACATCGCTACATGACTTCGTGCCGTCAGGACAATGGAACGAAAAAGCCAACTGAAATCAATCAAGTACGTCTTCTTTCGGTTAGTTTGACTCCATGAAGTTGCTCTTGTCTCTGCGCGGATGACGGACCCGATGAAGAGGAGCTGCACACGCTGGACGTCGGGGAGTGGCACCTGCAGCTCCTCGCCTCCTGTGAGGCCTCGCAGAAGACGCGGGGCTCAGGTTCAAGGAGGAACTGACTGAATCTGGAGCGCACGACTCGAGCCTGCTGACGAGCACGGCGGGAAGGATCTTTACGGCCCGCAGCCGAAGGGTTTAAAGACTTCAGCTCAGCATCCTCTGGCATATTGAAGTCTTTTCTTTTGTCCTGCACTCGCGCCAGTTTTATTCTTACAAATGTCTCATTTCCTGTTTTTTTCTCGTTTCTTCCGGGTTTCGTTCTCGTTTTGCTGTGGTTTGGATTCTGTCTGCTTTGTGTTTGCAGTCATGGGGTCAGTGTCTCCAAGTTGAGCTCTCTTCAGCCCTCGTTTCCGCCTGATGGAGTTCGTTATTATCCAGAGTTTATTGTTACTAAATGACCCGAGTGCAGCCCTTGTTCCAGGGGAACCGGTGGCCCCCGTGCAATTGAGCTAAATGTTAAATGTGTGGATGAATTTATGTGAATGTTATTGAATGTTTCCATCCAGGAAAAGGCGCTGTACGCAGCGTGCTCTGCTTCAACACACACACCTGCTGCCCCTTCCGATCCTCGCTTTATTTCTCTTCATGCCCTCCTCACCATGTCCGTTTCAAAGCAAATGCATCAAACTCAGCGTAGAGTATCGGCTGCTCAAACGTGTCCCCGTTCTCATTAAAAAGCTCTCTCTGCAAAGTCGTGAACGACGAAGAGAAGCCCTGAGGTAACAAACTTAATCGTTCTCATATCACCGATTAATGTCCTTTAAATTAAAAACAATTGTCAGTAAACTCTCTCTCCACGTTTGTCCGATTTGGCCACTTTTGTTTTCCTACACTAAACTCCAAGCGGCCGAGTGTTTGTCAGTCACGTGACTCAAACTTCCTCGTGGTTTTTGGAGGATTTACACGAACATTTTGTTTACAGCGATTGCATTACCACATTTCAGAACTGCGCATCAACATAACCGGTGAACTGCTAAAGCAAGCACTTTCAAACTGCACCGTTGTTGCAAGATTAAGATGAAATTGTGTTTCTTATATTTTGCAACGAGTGCCTCTTAAAATATGTGCGAAGAACGAAGCAAGATGTCAAATGATTTTTATTCTGTGGGCCTTTTGACAGCCACAAGAGGTCTGTGTTACCGGTAATCCAGATTGAGCCACTTCCTGTTTTATTTGAAGGGGGCTTCAGGAGGGATTAGCAAAGCGTCGAGGGTTAAAAATGGATAAATGAAACGTGCATCGTTTTGCATCAAGGTAAAAATATAAAAGTTTTTGGATTTCAACTGTGCTGGAATGTAATACTTGCTTCTCCGACACATTCACCACTTCAGCAAGTAAACCTGCTCCTAAAAGTTTCTTCTGTACAAAAGAAAACGCCCGTCGTTCGTAATTTCATGGTTTAAAACAAAAAACACTACAGCCTCCACGTGGTAAAAACACCAGATCTATTCCTCCCAACAGTATCCGAATGTGGTTCCTATAGTAAGGCTTCTCACTGGTTTACATGGACGTGGATTCAGTTGGTCCAGGATCAGTTTTCCGTTTTGTCCCAAACACTGGAGTAAAGTTTGGATTGAGGGCTGAAGATAAATCTGATGTCTGTGTTGGTGGTAGATTGGCACCTGAGAAATTTAAAACCGTTTTGAAAGTGACTGTAGTTCATAAAATTACTGTAAATCTTTTCCTTTTTTTATATAATTAACCAATATAAATGAATATGTATGAATAAATATATGCTTATATTATTAAGGCTTGTCTGTTTTTTTTTTTTCCTGTGTGGTTGGTGCTGATCCAGCAGATGGCAGCAAAAAGTCAGGCTCTGGTGCTGGAAGGGTTCGGGATGGGTTCTGTTCACTTCGCATGCTTTAAGGACGAAATGCAGCTTTTCACATGACATGTTGCTTTCACGTGAAATGTGAGTCATCCAGTCTCGTCTTCACAGGAGGTGCAATATACCGGTATTTTCTTTGCAACTGAAGTAAATCTTAAAAGACAAACGTGTCAATATTAGGACCATGGAGACAAAATTCAAGTATGGATGCCGTGCAGTCGTCACAAAAACGTCCCTCCTCTTTCAGTTCTAGAGTTTTATTTAAAGTGAGCTGTAATGAAAATGACCCGATCTTTACAAGGTTCTAAAATGATTCAAATCTCACCTCAAGTTTATGAAAAACGGTCAACGGAGTCTAACGTGTCATTTACTACACGGAAACAAAGTAATGAGGATGTTTCAAAAGTTAGGGTTATTCAACTGCCGGCTCCCGGGCCAAATCAGGCCCACGGGTGAGCTCAGGTCGGCCCACCTATGGGTTCGTTTTTAAACAAAACTAGATTTTAAACCTTGGATCTTGGGATTTTGTGCACGAGTGGGGGAAGAACGGAGCGTGCGACTGGCAGACAGATCGGTACGGCGTCTGCAGTGTTGCAGACGCCGTACCGATCCGTTGTGGTGAAGAACGAGCTGAGCTGTAGGGCTCTGTTTACCGGTCAGTCTACGTTCCTCCCCTCACCTCTGGTCACGAGCTCTGGGTAGAGACTGAAAGAATGAGATACAAGCGGTTGAAATGAGTTTCCTCTGCAGGGTACCTGGACTCTCCCTTAGGGTGAGAAGTTCAGTTATCAGGAGCGACTTTGAGTAGAACCGCTGCTCCTCCTCATCGAGAGGAGCCACTTGACGTGGTTCAGGCATCTGGTAAGGATGCTCCCTGGGCACCTTCAGGCGTGTCCGACTAAGAGGAGACCCCGGGGAAGACTTGGGACACGCTGGAGAGACTACGTCTCTCGGTTGGCCTGGGAACGCCTTGGAGTCCTCCCAGAAGACTTGGAAGAGGAAAGAGATGTCTGGGCCTCCCTGATCCAGCTGCTGCCCCCGAGACCTGACTTTGGAACAAGTGGAAGATGATGGCTGGATGGATGGATGGATGGATGGCTGGATGGATGGATGGCTGGATGGATGTTAAACCATAAAACAAACTTACTTAATGACTAACTGCTGGATGTCTGACCCCTGAGCAATTCAGTTGAATAGTCCTGGTCCAAGTCTTAGCTTCATGATTGTCTTAGACTGATCTAGGATCATAAACCTATCGAGATAAAAATTTGTTTTAAACTTTGGTCTAAATGGAAGATACATCTAGAATATTTATAACGGTTCATCGTTGAGGTGTTTCATTCCCAAAATAAATAATTTAAACCCTGTAAGCAGAAGGCTTTAAGGACCTAGGTCTATGTAAAGTAGCTTCATGTTGTTGGTCTAAACATCTAAAACTTGCCCATTGCTCACAGGGAAGATGGGAAGAAAATAAATAATTTAACCGCGTCTCAGTCACATCAAGGGTCTGGACTCTGGATCACTGCAACGCCTTGATTTTTTATTTGCAGTCTTTCTGTTGCAGGTTTGCTGCTGCGTTTGAGGTCATTGTCTCGTTGCATCACGACCCAGTTTGGTTCGAGGTTCTGCTGTCAGACAGGTGACCTCACATTTGACCCTAGATAACTGAGGAGTTCGTGGTCGACTCGTTGACTGCAAGGAGTCCGGGTCCTGCGGTTTTTGGCTTAACGTCTCTGGTCTCTGTCCAAAGGATCTCGTTCTACAAGTCTGGTGGTTCAAGATGAACTCCTCTAAAGGTTCTGGTGCGACGATCATCCTGGAGAGGTTTTCTCTTGCAACTCTTCCAAACCAGCCACACTTGTTCAGTCTTTTTCTAATTGTCCTGCCATGAACTTTGACCTTTGGCCTGCTGACTTTCACCACCTTCCTTGTGGTGAATTTGCTGGAACGTGCAACCCTGAGAAGATGGGCAGCTGTCTTAAATTCTTGCTGTTGGAGAAATTCTCTTGTTCTCTGTTGTTTGCTCAAAAGAACCAGGTAAAGATATTTAACTGGTATTTTATACTTGCAAAGTCTGATATCAGGGCAGGTTGTATACAT